TGAAGATCTAATTGGCTTTATTAAATAATTCATGAATCGGGCAGCATCTCATGTAGCAAACAGAAGGGTGATCTGAGGAGTTGTACAAAAGGGAAGGTTTTTATAGGCAGAACAGGCAGAATGAGGAAGTTATGAAAACAAAGAGTGGATTGTTTCAGGCAAGGTCACCTTCTCCTAGAGGCCAGAATGGCAGGGGTTTTATCAGGCAGATGACCTCACTAGTGTTGATCAGGAAATTCCCGGACTGATTGGTTTAAAATTCCACTCCTGGGAGAGACTAGAAATACAGTGAAGTCTTGGGTTTGCTGACATGGGGCTTAGCACAAGTGACTCCACTTTGGGACTGTTTCTTTTTAAAAGGAAACATTAAAATCAGAAAAGAGAAGTACACACAGCAGAGTCCAGGAAAAGTCTCAATATGGAGCTTCTGTTGCCCTCTCCCCATGGAGTCACGGACAGCATTACTTCCCTGGCATCAGTGTGTGACAGCACACGTGGAGTACTGCCAACATGGAAAGCTCATCTGAATCTTGGTGTCCAGGGTCTTTACTGGGACTCTATCACGGTAGGAGGAGGGGTGAGCATGGTTGATGGCTCACATGACTGATGTCAATTTCCAGCTCGTCAGGAGGTCATGCTAATATAGAATGACCCAAAGCCCCCACCCTAAATCACATTGTCACTATCTGGCTGGTTCAAGGCTCCAAGATAAAGTCACTCCTATCAGGCATGACATTCCAAGGGCTTAGAGATGACCTCCCCAGAAGGGCAAAGGCCAGACCTCTTTGGATAACGCTGAGTTCTTTACAATATATTTACTATATACTGCATATACATGTGTATATGTCTATCAGGTAACGCTAAGTGTATTAACAGAAACGCAGGAGAGGTAATAAAAATGCTAAGAAGAAAAATTAGAATAAAGGGACAATGATGGAAAGAGAGCTTTTTCAAATACTTTAGTCAGGCAAGGCTTCACTGATCAGACTCAAATTAAGTCAAGAAACACGCTGTGTGATTATCTAGGGAAACCACAGTCCCAGCAAAGGGAAGAGAAGTTTCCAGAAGTGGGAGTGTGCCCTTTGCACACCATGAAACCATCAAGGAGGTCAGTGTGAACGCAGATGAGTGAGAAAGACAAACAGATAAGGGAAGACAGGTCACTAGTGCCTTGCAGACCAGGAAGGGGACTTGGAATTTTACTGTAAGTGAGGTGGGAAGAGATCGGAAAATGCTGAGCAAAGGAGTGACACGTCTGATTTCAAAATCACTGTCTGTCGTCAGGGGAAAAGACTATACAGGCACAAAGACGATTACAGAAAGAACAGGTAGGAGGCTGTTTTAAAAGTCTGGGTTGGAGATGATGTTGGCTAGGATTAGGGTGGTAGCAGAGGAGACAGTGGCAGTATTGTATTCTGATCCAATAAATAAGGATTTCCTTGGTAATTTTAAATAAATTACACATTTCTTAACTGTCCACCTATGGAGCCTGTAACTTGAGAAAAAATTACCTGTAGCATCTACTTTCTGTTAATACTCTGGAATATCACAATGTTTCTAAAGTCTTCCATGTACTGCAGAGGCTAGAAATCTGAAAACTATACTTCCCACTCTCTCTTGCCAGCAAGGTTCAGGTTTAGCATCTGCCCATGAGATGTGCAAGGCACAGCTGAAAAGAAGCATTATGCTCATCTGTATTGAGCTGGCAGAAGGATAAAGGGCATGGAGGATCCCACACTTGTGTTCTTAGTGGGCCTGGCGTGGAAGAACAGCACCTCAGTCACTGCAGCCTCCACTACACTGGACGCATCTCAGTACACAGCCAACTGAACTGCAGAGGAGGCTAAGAAACACATCTATCTGTGTGCACAGGAAGAAGAAATTCAGATTTGGTGAACAGCTAGCGATCCAGTCTCTGCCACATGCTATGATCCCACTAGACAATCATACACCATACCATAACAGAACGGGAATAGTGCCCCCTCCCTGGTGTCATAAGATGCTGAGACAGAGGTGCTGTGTACAATAAGCCAATGGTGGTGGTGGTACATGTTCCCAACGGTGGTACATGTTCCCAAGTTTGAGTTATTTGATCTTGACTCTAAATTCGGGACATCAACACCCTAGTACAGACCAAACTGCCCCAAACCTAGGTCAATGTGTTTATATGATCTCTTCTCCAGCTTAAGATACAAAGAAAATCATATTTGTATGTCTTCCCTTTAGTCTTGAGATCTCAACCTTAAAATGCATAAAGAACACACATACACAAACATTCACATATACAAAAACACATATTCTTCTTAATAGCAGCAATTTGCTGACACTGGGGCAATCAAAATCCAAATATAAAACCACCATGGATGATGATCTTTTGCAACACTCTGCAGAACAATTTAGATTCCTGGAGCCACATTGTCCTGAAACACTTTATTACAAAGGAGTGTCTTTCTACTTTACATATGCATAGTCCCACTCAGTAATTTTCCAGGAAAAAGAAAAAAAAATGCCTCAGAGGTAAATTTTAGTCTCCACCACTTAGCAGAAATACAACTCCCAGAAACTTTAAAATGTCAGGGTCAAAACATTAGGGTTTAGAGAAATCTAGTCACCCTATATAGTGTAGACACATATCTACATGCTAACAGAAGCCTTGAGACCTATTTTCATTATCTTTTTTTAATTTAGAAAAAATGTAGAGATTAAAATTAAAAAATTTTTTCTTAGTATTCATTCATATTTTTTCTTAAGTTCCAAGATTGTGTACTTAAATTGAGCAGAAAAAAATCCACTACTTTAATGAGACTATAGTTTTCAAGGGAAAGTATGTTATGGAAGTCACTCAAGGTCTTTAACACGGATCCTGGAATCCTTTGACCTCACTGAGTAACAATTTTTTTTTTCCTTTTCATGAGAAACAGATGGAATTATCAGATAGTGGCAACTGTTCATAGTTAGGATAACACAACGTCTGGTTTGTTAACTAAAGTTCTGTTTTAACTAAATCTGACTATAAGAGCTTCAGTCAACAAGAGTCATCCTCTACAAATTCATTTTCAGTGTAACTAAAACTTCCCAATTTGAGTTCCAAATTTTGTGACAAGAAACTCTACTGAGTTACTTAATAAGTTCTTCCATATTCTTCCTGATATAAGAGAAAAACATTTCCTCCATTTTCCCTCCTTTCCCACCCCCACAGAGCCAGATCTTTCAATTCTACAGACCTCTAGGATTACTTTTATCAGCACACCCCCACTCCCCACCCCAAGAGGCAGTAAGTCAATTAAGGGTTCCATTTTCCAAGGGCAACACTAAAAAAAACTCCTCACCCAGGTCTTCATGAATATTAGACCCATGAAAAATTATGCAAGTTGTTTCACAGGGTGAGGGTAAAGAAGACGGAGAACAGGGATTCCCTGAGACTGGGAAAACAGTGGTAGTTTCCAGTGTGTGGCCTTGTGTGGCTCGCCCTTGCTGCATCCAGAGGCGGCTGGACTGGGAGGTGGTGCCTGTAGGTCTGCGAGCAGCAGTCCTGCGTTCTGTGGCCCAGCCACCATCAGTGCAGAGGACATTCGAGGGAGCCATCTTTCAGCCCGCCCAGAGCACAGCACAGGCGGAGCACCGGTGACAGTCACAACGAGCCAGCACTCCCTTTGCTTCCTGGCACTAGGTAACCTAAGAATCCTTGAGGGTCCAATCAAGGCAGGAAAAAAGTCCAAGTCACAACTGACGCTTTTCTTCCCATTAACGTCCTTCTCATCTTTCCTACTAAATCTCCCCTTCGTGCAGGTTTCCACTACATGGACATTTACTCTGAAGTGTCTGCCTAAAGCAACAGCCTCAAGCAATAATGTACTACTTCCTGCTGAACATATCAGCAAGAATTAGTCACTTAAACTCATAACTAAGATTCTATTCAGGATCGACAAACCTGAGGTGAAGAGAAATAACACAACTTAGAAAATAGAACACCCCTCTCTGGGCTGTCGAGAGGACTGTGTGAAATACGCAACGTCCTTACTCTCCTGCTGCTGCCACAATGAATGACCGCACACTCAGTCTTCACTGGCACAAGTTCACCACCTTCTGTTACCTCTGTAGCAGGGAAGCTCCACAAGGGTCCTCACTGGGCTAAGGTCAAGGGGCTGGGGGGCGAGTTCCTGCCTGGAGCTGGGGGGGGGCTCCGCTTCCTCTTTCAGTCTCAGAGGCTGCTGCACTCCGTGGCTGTGGCCCCTTCCTCCACCTTCAGAGCCAGCGACAGCCGAGGCCTCCCGTGGCATCACCGTGAACTCTCTGCGCCTCCCTCTGCCACTCTGAAGGACCCGTCATTACAGCGGCTCACCCAGATAATCCAGGACATCTCCGCTCCACGACTAGCTGACCAGCAACCTTCACTTCCCTGGCCCTGGAACACAGCATCCTCTCAGGCTCCGGGGATCAGCATGTGGGCATCTCTGGGGTCACTGCTCTGCTGACCGCAAACATGCACCAGCCAGCCACGACCCAGCGGGTACTAAGTGACAGATAAATGCCCGTCCTCTTCCCCTACGCCCTGACGTGGTCTGCTGGGGCGCCGTAACTAACGCCGCAGGTGCAGGCCGGGTGGCTTCCACAACAGAACTCATTTCTCAGCTCTGCTGGCGGGGCAGTGCAAGCTCAGGGCGCCGGCGCTGCAGCTCCTGGTGGGAGCCCCGTCCTGGCTCATAGACCGCCTGTCTGTCCTCACACGGCCTTTCTTCTGAGGAGAGCCAGCGCGCTCTCGGGGTCTTTCTTACCAGGACACCAATCCGACCAGATCAGGGCCCCACTTGACAACCAACTTGCCTACCTTCTCATAGGCCCACCTCCAACCCAGCACCCTGGGGGCCAGGGCTTCAGCGCAGTAACTGTGGGGGACACGTCCAGGCACAGCACTGGCTCACTAACGACCCACACTGCCTCCACACGCGCACCGTCTCACCTACCGAACAGGTCACACACTTGTCCCACCAGTGTGCCCAATGGGCACGTCTGATGGGACACGGGTACCAACGGGCACAACGAATGGGCGCATTTACCGCAATGCTCATTCCGATGGTCTTAATACTCGCCTCCAACTCCCGAAACGTGTAACGTCTGCCCTTTCTGTGCTAACTCGTCCGAGCGGCCGCTCTCTCGTGTCTCCTAGGCTCCCAGTATCAACTCACTCCCCACGCACTAACTAGACACCCCGCCAACCCTCCCCGCCACAACCCCCTCAGCCCACGCCCCTCGACTCCGGGGGCGCTACCTGCTCACTGACCCCCTCCTCTCTCCACGTCCCACCTCACAGCCGCAGCTCCCACTCTCCGACCCCAGGCCCCCCCACGCCCCGTGTGGCCTCCCCACCTCACCGCCCGTTCACCCGCCTGTCTACACCCGCTTCCGCCTCCTGCACCGCTCTGTCCTCGAAGCAGCCACGGCCCCCCGGCCCCCCGAATAACCGCCGTCCTCTACGGGCGTGTCGGGTCCTGGCCGGCCAGGCCCCGTCCCGCCTCGGTCTCGGGGAGTCCCCTCACTCTCCGCACCCTCTGCCCCTCCTCCCGATGACCTCTGCCCTCCCCGAGCTCACTGCCGACCCCGCCGTCCCTCAGGACGCCCTCAGCCCACCCAGGTAACCTGTCTGGGGGGAGAGGCTCCCCCACCCTCCCGGGCTCGCTCTTGGGGCTGCACGGCAGACGACGCACGGGCCTCAGGGAGACGCACGGGGGGGCGCGGAGCCGCTGCCCGCGGCGGCGGGAGGAGACTCGGCCACCAGCGGCGCCCGCGGGGACGCGGTCCCGGTCTGCAGGGCCGGCCC